CAACTAAGGGACTAAGGGAACCGCAGTCACAGTTTTACGCCCAGCAGGCGCTAGGCTCGATACTGCTTTTTTTTTTTTGTTCGTCATCTGCTTCTGGCAACCCTTATGAGAGCGTAGATTGTAAGGTATTGCAGACTGTTCCTCTACACCTTCTTCTGGAGTCAAAATAGACTCTGCGTTGTCCTGAGGTGATGATTGGTTCTCTGGGGATGGTGCCTTCTTACACTGTGAAGCATGTATCCACGCTGCGATGCCAGATAGTTTAACAGCCGTCTGTGTAGTAAGCAGTACCTGATGAGGACCCTTCCACCGGGGCTCCAAGGTGTGCTTTCGATGATGGCGCCGTACAGAGAGACCCAATCACCTGGCTCAAGTTTGTGCAAGCGTCGGAGGTGGGTTCCGTGGGCCAGGCGGCTCGAACCTGTGAATGGAAGTGACTTACAGCTTGCATTAGTCCCTTGCAATACTGAAGGAGCGCACTGTGAGTCAAGTTCAAATCTGGAACGGGAGTAATGGTAGTCATAGCTCGCATAGGGCGTCCCATAACAATTTCAAAGGGACTTAATTTATGCCTTTGGGATGGAGTGGATCTCATGTCCATAAGGGCTACTGGCCAGCTTAATCCTGTAGAGTCACAAATTTTAGCAAGCTTATTCTTACGTACACCATTTCGTCTTTCAACTGCACCTGCACTCTCTGGGTGATAGGGACAGTGCAATAGGTGTCTGGTATGCAATATACGGTCCAGGTGTTGAACAAGTTGTCCAGTAAAATGCGTACCCCGATCACTGGACAGAGTAGCAGGAATTCCCTTTGGCAGGCATAATGAGATTTAACAAACATTTGGCAACAGACAGTGAGTCAGCCTTGCGACAAGGAGAGGCTTCAATCCAACCGGAGAATAAACATACCATAACCAATATAAATTCATATTGTTGACACTTAGGCATTTGTGCAAGAATGGTGCTTGAGGCAGGCCCCGGAACCCCTGGGCCACTTTTACAGGTTTACCAATATTATGGCTTTGGCAAATGGTACAGGCTGCACAGTGGCGGGCTGCAAAAGAGCTAAAATGGGGGGCCCACCATCCTGTCTTTGTTACAGCAGAGACCATCCCCTCCTTTCCAACATGCGAAACACCGTGTAGCAGGGCGGCCAGAGATGGGCAGAGTGAAAAGGGGGCTACAAAGGTGCCAGTAGGCGAGCGCCAAAAGGAATCGGGATGTAGAGAGCAACCCTGGGCAACCCAGGATTCTCTCTCAGTTTCTGGGGCAGAGTCTTGGAGCAGAGTGAGGTCAGCGAGGGACCAGGAGGGTAAGAGGAGAGCGGAGAACAAGGGCATCAGACATTTCTACTAGGCACGCTGCAGCAGCCACAGCACGCAGGCAGGGGGGTAAGCCTTGGGCAACAGGGTCTAAAGTGGCAGAGAAATAAGCCACTGGGCGGTTCTTTTCTCCGTGCATCCGAGTGAGAACTCCAAGTGCACACCCAGATTGTTCGTGGCAGAAAAGGGTAAAAGGCTTAGAATAGTCAGGCAGCCCTAAGGCAGGGGCAGAAGCCAAACCCTGTTTGAGGGAAACAAAGGCAGAATTGGTCTCAGGGGGCCACGGCATGGGGTCAGGCACAGAGAATCGAGTGAGCTCCTGGAGAGGTTTTGCAAGGGAGGCATATTGGGGAATCCATTGTCTGCAAAATCCAGCCATGCCTAAAAACTTCCGGACCTGGCGTGGGGAGCAGGGTCGGGGAAAGCTAAGGATAGCTTGGACGTGGGTGGGAGAAAGTGCACAGGAACCCTGGGAGAGGAGAAAGCCAAGGTATGTGACAGAAGCTTGACAGAGTTGTAGTTTAGAGCGAGAAGCTTTGTGACCCTTATTTGCTAGGGCAGTAAGGAGCACTAAAGAGTCAGTTTCAGAGGCAGACAATGAAGGGGAACAGAGGAGTAGATCATCTACATATTGGACTAGTGTGAACCTGGACGGGAAAACAAGGTCAGCAAGGTCTCAGGCTAATGCTTGGGAAAAATATGACGGGCTTTCAGTATACCCCTAGGGCAGTGTGGTCCATGTGTACTGTTGCCCCTTGTAAGAAAAGGCAAACAGGAACTGGGAGTCAGGGTGAACCAGGACAGAAAAGAAAGCAGAGCACAAATCAACAACAGTAAAATGAGTTACATCTGGTGGGATAAAAGCCAGAATCTTTGAGAGAGGCAAGTTTTGATTCTGTCCACCTATGATTTGCCTCTTCCCACCACTGCATGAAACAATCAACCTCTCCCTTTGCCAATTTAGTTTTAGGTTGGCCGAGTTTGTCTTTTAAGACGTCTACTCAGTCTTTGTCCCAAGATCCTAACAGTGGCTACTGAATTTTGGGATTCTCCTGAGTTAGCCTTTTGCATTCCCATACCTATCTTTCCCCCTCCCCTCCCCCCCAAGGTCAGCCTTTTGAAGCCATCCCCCACCCATGTCATGAGGTTTTCTGTTCATTAAAACACAACAATGCTAGCAACAAGACAAACACCACAGACAAACAACACAAAACCTAGATCCATGGTATTCTGAATTTTTCTTCCACTGGCGCCAGCTTGCTTGTAGAGTCTAAAAACAAAAAACAATTTCCAGCCCCCTGGTGGGGACAGATTATTGCTTCATAATAATACCACTTTCTTTTACAAATTTCCTTGCTAATTGCAGGAAAAACAGAAGAATTACCTCCAGGTTCTCCTTATTTTGTTCTATAGTCAGGCTAGTGAATTACCCCACTCACTGATCATTTATGAAATTCATGAGGTGGTGTACCTCAGTTTCCCCTCTTGTGCAACAGACCATGTTTGCAATAGTTTCTCTGCTGTACCAAGCTATAAGTTTATTCTCAGGTAATAGCTGAGACAGCTTCAGATTTTAGCACTATACACACACACAAAATTCTCTTTTGCCTAACATCCCTTGCATTGTGATTACTCTTTTACACAACTGTACCCCGATTACACTTCCATCTTGTACAACTAGACACAACCAGGAGCAGCCAAGTTAAGTTCCAATAGAAACTCCTTACATCCTTTAGTGATTTTGATTACATTACCCAATCGTCAAACAATTTTGATCAGATTCTCTCTCTGCCTGCAGCAGTCCCTTATAGACCATTTCTGTGGGAAAAGGGCCCATTTTCCCTCAGAATAGCTGTAAAGGCTTCTGGGGACAGAAGCGTAGTGGTGGTAGTAGCCACTCTACCTGACCCCCTTAGCCTAGACCATTTTTCCAGAAATTTACAGGAGTCCAGACTCTTCCTAAAATACATAAACTGAGCCGGCGTTCCTTTAGGGAACTGTCCCGACTTAGACGCCTGGTTACCCATACAGGAGGACTTTACACACCAATCACACAAGAAGGAAAGTTGGGTTCGTCAGAGCGATGCCCGGTGCAACACACAAAAGGAGCCCACAGGCTACTGCCTCAATCGCCCTTGCTTTCACACCAAGGGTTTTACCCAAGGCGCGGTGCGGCTGCGATTGTGCAGATTTCACTCACTCAGACCGTGGGGACAGGAACCCTTTGGTCAGCCAATCCCCTGACGGAGACGGCACCCAGACTCAAACACACCACAGGGAGGACGGATAGACACAGAGACAAGACAGTCCTCAGTCCGGACAAAACACAGAAATAATTACCTGACCATATTCCTGATGTCAGATCCCGGGATCCCTACCAGAACAGAGTGGGAACCAACAGGTTCGATGGTGTAGACTTCACTGTGGTCATGTACCCTTCCGTTCCGGCAGAGGACCGCTCGGGCCAAATGCCCAGGTGCCGGCTTGCTATGGCCATCCTAAGAACAGTCAGGAGTCACACAGCCCCGGAGAAGACGGTTGCCATCTCAGTGGAACCTCCAAATTGTCAAAGTCAGATTCAGGACTCACATAATTTGTCAGAACACTCTGTTTATTAGCGAAGTGCTTTGCTGATGCATCCAGATGTGAGCCCTCTCTGAGGCTCAAGATAACTTATTTATACAGCTAAGCCAAAGCCAATTTAACATAAGAGACAAAAGAAAGCAGAAACTGACAAATATACATACATATCTTATTTGCATACTAACGTTTACCAATCTCCTAGTTCAGTAGGAGCTCTAAGTTAATTAGTTTGAGGACCCATTGTCTCACACTCCTTAATGTTTCTCTTCCTGACAACTATATTTCAACAAACCCTTCAAGCAGCATTTCTTTAATGAATTATAATTTCAATATAATTCATTCTACTTTCACAATAGGATAGCACAGTGAGTTGCGAGTTAAATTCCTGGAAAGAAGGAAAGCCAAATAAAGGCCTCAGATGCAGACTGAGATCAGTACATAGAGTGAGTGATAATAGAAGCCACTGAAAAATACAGAGAAGGGGAGGTGTGCATAGCTGACTGAAAAAAATATTGAATGTTTAAAGATTTTCTTTGTTTCCTCAATCAATAAGTAACTGGACCATCATCTGTTTTAAGTGTGTTCTATTCTGAAAAGTGACTTTAAAAATCAGCATTGTGGGATTCTGTGTTCATTGTCTCTGCACCATGACCTAAACCTGGAATCTGAGAGTCAAGTTGGGTCCTCTGAGGCACTGCATCTCTACTAACAAAGATTTTGCAGGTGAGATTTTAAGCAATTCTGGTTGAGGATTGCAAGCCAGAGAACATAGAATCCAGCTCACCCCTTATCTGTGTTAGCCATGACTACAGGAGTGAAAAGCAATAAAATCTTGTTTTTGTCTCTAACATCAGCAGACATGATTCTGAATTCACACCAGGGGCAGATCTGTTGATTCAGAAGGTGCCACTTTTGCCTACTTGCTGTTCTGACAACCAGCACTCTTTATAAATCATTCTTCACCTCACTGCATCACAAAACTCTTTAGAATGAGATAAAATGTGGCAATCAAATCAAGGCAAAAATACTAACCATGGACACAGTATCTACTGAAATGACTTCTGTCATAAATATAAAGGAAAGGGTAAACACCTCCTGGCCAGAGGAAAAACCCTTTCACCTGTAAAGGGTTAAGAAGCTAGGATAACCTTGCCAGCACCTGACCAAAATGACCAATGAGGAGACAAGATACTTTCAAAGCTGGAGGGGCCGGGTGGGGGAGGGAGAGAAACAAAGGTTCTCTTGGTCTGTGTGATGCTTTTCCCAGGAACAGAAAAGGAATGGAGTCTTAGAACTTAGTAAGTAATCTAGCTAGATATGCGTTAGATTCTGTTTTGTTTAAATGGCTGATAAAATAAGCTGTGCTGAATGGAATGTATATTCCTGTTTTTGTGTCTTTTTGTAACTTAAGGTTTTGCCTAGAGGGATTCTCTATGTTTTGAATCTGATTACCCGGAAAGATATTTACCATCCTGATTTTACAGAGGTGATTCTTTTACTTTTTCTTCAATTAAAATTCTTCTTTTAAGAACCTGATTGCTTTTTCATTGTTCTTAAGATCCAAGGGTTTGGGTCTGTGTTCACCTATGCAAATTGGTGAGGATTTTTATCAAGCCTTCCCCAGGAAAGAGGGTGTAGGGTTTGGGAGGATTTGTGGGGGCGGGGAAGACGTTTCCAAGCGGGCTCTTTCCCTGTTATATATTTGTTAGATGCTTGGTGGTGGCAGCAATAAAGTCCAAGGGCAAAAGGTAAAATAGTTTGTACCTTGGGGAAGTTTTAACCTCAGCTGGTAAAAATAAGCTTAGGGGGTTTTTCATGCAGGTTACCCAAGAATTTCATGTACCCTAGAATTCAGAGTGGGGAAGGAACCTTGACCTTCACCCAAAATGCATTCTACAAATATATATATATTTTTTCATTAAATCACCCACTTAAATCACATGACTTTAAATTATCCTGACTCAGGAAAACCGTTCTTTTCTCTGGTTTGTTCTGCTCTCTTTGTAATAAAGCCACTTGGCATTAATTATGTCTGCCTTTCTATTTGTCTTTAGAAACAGTTCTACAAACAGTTACAGTGTCCCGCTCTGACTCCAGGAAGTGAAAATGACAATGTCAGCCACTTCTCTGAACTGCAACATGGAGAAAGTGACTAGAGGCTAGTGACGGACTACAGAAAGAGAGAAACTGAAAGGACAAAGAAAGGGGGGGAAGGGGGGTGGCACCAGATCTGAATCTACCTGACTTTGTCGGCAACCACCAGTTTCAGTGACTCCTTTTCAAACTTACTTACAGGAAACATACATCCAAAAATGTCCATAAAGTGAGAAAAGTCCTGCAATTAGGGGATAGAAATTCGATCTGATCTCAATCTTCTAAACAGCCATTCACCTCTCTCTCATAGTCTCCCTTTCATTAGACCCAGCAGTTCCCCTTTTCAGTGTTGTCTTGGGGAAACAAGTGCTAGATTATTAACTCATTTGAAAACACAAAAATACCCACCCAGTTTGGACGAGATTTTCCTTACCTTTCACCTCTGCCTTTATGGGCTCTGGGTGCTCCTCTTTATTTCTACCAAAGATCACATCCATGTCTGCTGCACTTAAACTTCTTGTATATCCGCTGCACAGCTGGTGTTGCTCTTGTGGTATCCCCTCTGACTGGGCTGAGAACAGTTCTTTCCTGTTATTTATAGGGCCAAAGTGCACCTCCAGCCAGCTGCTGGTGACTGATAGCACGTAATACTATAATTCTCTCCCTCCCTCTCCACACTTAACTCTTAATCTCAGCTCCTTTGATGGACAGAGAGAACTAATTCATTTGTCGTGTTGCTCATGATTGAACAAGAGATCAGTTCGGCAGGGGGTTATTGTCTGATCCCACCTGAATCCCAGGGATTCTGAGAAACTTTAGATATTGATTAGATAGGGATCCTTGCCCATATGACAATGTTGAAGGAAAGAGCAAAAGAAATCTCCACCTGCTACTATGATCCTGTTTTTAGAAGCTAATAAAAAAAAAGTCTCCAGAGTTGATCACATCCTTCTCTCTGGAATACAAGCTTGTGCCATTCTAAGAATTAGCAGAAAATGATCAGTGCAGTGCTCTGTGTTTTATTTTTTGACCAGACTGTTGGAAAGTAAGCTAAAGGGCACCTCTCTGAATGACAAATGGCTGTCTTCACAAACAAGGGTTGTAACATACATACCGTTGTGTGATTTGAGTGAAGTGGGGTTAGAGATCTTTTTTTTTAAAAGGAGTTTTAACTTCACTGCTTTTGTTTCAAGATTAGGTTCTGAGCTGATTCCAGTGTTGTTCATTTTGAAATCCTCCCGTCAAAGAATTATTTCAATATAAATCATGTGATTGCTGAGCAAACCAAGGGACTACATTTAACATGAACGATAAGACTCCTTGTACAACTGAATATTATACAACTTCATATGAGATTACCTTGGAAGTCAGAGACTTATTTGTTCCCATAATATGTATAAATCACCTCCTAATAGCTGATTAAGCAATGAAAATATTTACATGCTTATTTTACGTAAAATGTAGCTTTCATTACTTATGACAGCTCTTGCTTCCTTGTGGATATTGCTCCTTTTATCCTTACTCGCAGTCTTCCCACAGGTCTGCCTTCACACTGCACAGTTCCTCAAGGCAGTTATCACGCCTTCTTCTCCATTTGGAAGACACCTCACACACTGTGGGATCCACCAGAAATAAAGGATAATACATTAACACAAAACAGCTTCTAAATATGGAAATAAAGGTGCTTTGCTGGAGTCTGTAACATTAGTGAAGAAGCACAAGGATTTTAACAGTGAGGGCTTGAGAGGGGAGGAATCAAAGGTTGAGTAATGGGTTTGTTAGCAGTGATAGAGAATGGAGAGCATTTGGGAGGAAAGATAAGGGGCCTGATTCTCACATTACACCCATTTCCCCCTGTGCAAAGAGCCTCTCTTGCAACATAAGGCTCTCCACTGGTCCTGTTCCCTGCCCTGGTGAGGAGGGCATGGCCAGAGTATACTGCACAGGGCAAATAAGGGAGCAGGGGAAGCAGAACATAAAGCAGAGTCTGATCTAAATTACATCAGGAGCCAAACAGGTCCCTGCACAGTCCCAGAAAATGGGGAGCACAACGATGGCTTAAAACCACCTTTTCTCCTCACCTCCCAAAGGTCAGGAAGGAAGTCACTGAGAATCAGTCCCAAGGAGTCTGACGCCTTGTCAAGGTTCCTCCCCCACTCTGAACTCTAGGGTACAGATGTGGGGACCTGCATGAAAAACCTCCTAAGCTTATCTTTACCAGCTTAGGTCAAAACTTCCCCAAGGTACAAAATATTCCACCCGTTGTCCTTGGACTGGCCGCTACCACCACCAAACTAATACTGGTTACTGGGGAAGAGCTGTTTGGACGCGTCTTTCCCCCCAAAATACTTCCCAAAACCTTGCACCCCACTTCCTGGACAAGGTTTGGTAAAAAGCTTCACCAATTTGCCTGGGTGACTACAGACCCAGACCCTTGGATCTTAAGAACAATGAACAATCCTCCCAACACTTGCACCCCCCCTTTCCTGGGAAATGTTGGATAAAAAGCCTCACCAATTTGCATAGGTGACCACAGACCCAAACCCTTGGATCTGAGAACAATGAAAAAGCATTCAGTTTTTTACAAGAAGACTTTTAATAAAAAATAGAAGTAAATAGGAATAAAGAAATCCCCCCTGTAAAATCAGGATGGTAGATATCTTACAGGGTAATTAGATTCAAAAACATAGAGAACCCCTCTAGGCAAAACCTTAAGTTACAAAAAAGATACACAGACAGAAATAGTTATTCTATTCAGCACAATTCTTTTCTCAGCCATTTAAAGAAATCATAATCTAACACATACCTAGCTACATTACTTACTAAAAGTTCTAAGACTCCATTCCTGTTCTGTCCCTGGCAAGAGCAGCACACAGACAGACACAGACCCTTTGTTTCTCTCCCTCCTCCCAGCTTTTGAAAGTATCTTGTCTCTTCATTGGTCATTTTGGTCAGGTGCCAGCGAGGTTACCTTTAGCTTCTTAACCCTTTACAGGTGAGAGGAGCTTTCCCCTGGCCAGGAGGGATTTCAAAGGGGTTTACCCTTCCCTTTATATTTATGACACACCTGGTCTACAGTACATGGTTATTTTGGAATTAGCCTAGTTAATTCAAAATAAAACTGAGTCCATCCATACAACCAAACTGGTTTTGTTGATTTAAAGGGCTCTTTAATCCGGTTTCCGTACTCCACCTCGACAAGTGGAGTAGCGCTAAAATCGAGATCACAGTTCTGGGTTACAGGTACCGTGGATGCAATTTGGCGTTATTGGCCTCCGGGAGCTATCCCAGAATGCTCCCGTGACTGCTCTGGACAACACTCTTCACTCCAATGCACTAGCCAGGTAGGCTGTAAAAGCCCCGGGAACTTTTGAATTTCAATTCCTGTTTGTCACCGTGGCGAGCTCATCAGCACAGGTGACCATCAGCACAGTCCACCATCACAGGCAACCATGCACAGTCCACCATCACAACAGACCACGCAGTCCCAGATTTGCAGACAAGCTCCAGCATGGTCCAAACGGGAGGTACTGGATCTCATTGCATGTTGGGGAGGCTAATCTGTTATGGCAGAACTACGTTCCAAAAAAAGGAATGCAAATACATATGCTAAAGTCTCCAGGGCCATGGCAGAAAGAGGTTACTCCAGGGACATAGCGCAGTCGTACAAAAATCAAGGCGCTCAGGCAAGCATACCAAAAAGCCAGGGAGGCGAATGGGTGCTCTGGGTCACAGCCCCATACATGCTGCTTCTACCGTGAGCTGCATGCAGTTATGGGGGGTGACGACACCACTACCTCACCACTGTCCGTGGACACCTGCAAGGGGGGGGAGTTGCACAGAGCGAGGAGGATGAGTTATTGGAGGACAAAGAGGAGGAGGACAGTGCAAAGGCGGCAAGTGGGGAATCCGTTTTCCCCCCTAGCCAGGAACTATTCTTAACGCCGGAGCCAATAGCCACCCCCCACTCCCAAGGCATGCTCCTGGACCATGACCCTGGAGAAAGCACTTCTGGTGAGTGCGCCTGATTGGAGCCATGCGGTGGGGGTGAGGGGAAACCCAGCCGTGCTGGGCTGTTCGCGTTTAGTTTAAAGGGTTCATCCCTGCTCAGAGCCTCATCGGAGCCATGTGGTGGGGGCGGGGGTTGTGTGAAGCAATCATCCCAGGCAGCCTGCAGGCCCTCCTTTTATATCGCAAACCCACCAGGCATTGCTTGCTATGAGAAAGGGGGCCCGGCTGTTTGAAAGCATTGAAATGAATGTGGAAGAAGCAGAACCCTGCATGCCCCTAGGGCTTACCATGACTGCCTCAAGCTGAATTCTGTTGCCCAGCTGCATGTGATGGCTTACTCAAACCAAAGTGGCAGGCACTTCAGTATAAGGAAGCAAAATACAACCTTGTACAGAAAGAACATGTGGTGTGTACTATGAATTGCCTGTTTCACTGAGAAAGAGTGTCCCCTTTGTTCTCTAAAATTTATCTTTTAAAATACTACCCTCCCTTTTCCTCCTCCCGCAAGTAAAAATGTTTCAACGCCCCTATCTACTCCGTCCCAGAGGCTGGTCCAGATTAGAAGGTGGAAAAAATGAACTTGAGACTACATGTCTGCCGAGCTCTTGCAGTCCCCCAGCAATGATAGGGCCCAGCTGAATGCGTGGAGGCAAACAATTGCCGAGTCCTGTACAGCATTACATGAACATGAAGAGAGGAGGGACGCACGCGATGAGAGCAGGCAGGATGCTATGGTCAAGCTCATAGGGGAGCAAACTGACATGCTCCGCTGTATGGTGGATCTAATGCAGGAAAGGCAGCAAGACCACAGACCGCTACTGCAACCCTGTATAACCGCCCTCCCTCCTCCCCAAGTTCCATAGCATCCTCACCCAGACGCCCAAGAACACAGGGGTGGGGAAGGCTACGGCGACCCACACACTCAACCCCAGAGGATTGTACAAAGCACCAGAAGGCTGGCAAATCCTAAATTTTTATTTGGTTTCTGGACTTGCCCTTCCCTCCTCCTCCACCCCTCTAACCAAATCCCGCCCCCGCTCTACCTTCTCATTTCTCTCAATGTGTTGTGCAACAAATAATAAAGAACGGTTTTTAAACTATTGTGACTTTATTTCCTTTCATGTATCTAGCTATATAGATATAGGGGGCGGCTAACTTCAAGAGAAAAACAACTATCACACTGTACCCTGGCCAGTCATAAAACTTGCTTTCACAGCTTCTCTGATGCGCAGCGCACCCTGCTGTGCTCTTCTAATCGCCCTGTTGTCTGGCTGTGTGAAACTGGCTGTTAAGCAAGTTGCCTCAACCTCCTACCCCACCATAAATGTCTCCCCCTTACTCTCACAGATATTGTGGAGCACACAACAAGCAGCAATTACAATTGGAATATTCGTTGTGCTGAGATCTAACTGAGTCAGTAAACTGTGCCAGCGCGCTTTCAGACACCCAAAAGCACATTCTATGACCATTCTGCATTTGCTCAGCCTATAGTTGAACTGCTCCTTACTCCCGTCCAGGGTGCCTGTGTACAGCTTCAGGAGCCACGGCATTAAGGGGTAGGCTGCACCCCGAGGATAACTATAGGCATTTCATCATCCCCAACAGTAATTTACTGGTCTTGGAAGCAAGTCCCTTCCTGCAGCTGCTCAAACAGACCAGAGTTCCTGAAGATGTGAGCATCATGCACCTTTCCCAGCCATCCCACAGTGATGTCAGTGAAATGTCCCTTGTGATCCACCAGTGCTTGCAGCACCATAGAAAAGTACTCCTTGCAGTTGACGTAGAGGCTGCCCTGGTGTGCTGGGGCCAAGATAGGGATATGCTTTCCGTCTGTTACCCCGCTGCAGTTAGGGAACCCAGCGCATTAAAGCCATCCACAGTGGTCTGCACATTTCCCCATAATTACTACCCTTGATAGCAGCTGGTCAAGGATTGCGTTGGCTACTTGCAGCACAGCATCCCCCACAGTAGATTTGCCCACTCCAAACTAATTCATGACTGACTGGTAGCTGTTGGGCATTGCAAGCTTCCCCAGGGCTATGGCCACTTGCTTCTCAATTGTGAGGGCTGCTCTCATTTTGGTGTCTTTGCACTTCAGGGCAGGGGACAGCAAGTCAAAGTTCCATGAAAGTGGCCCTACGCATATGAAAGTTTCGCAGCCACTGGGAATCATCCCATACCTGCCACGCTATGTAGTCCCACCAGTCTGTGCTTGTTTCCCGGGCCCAGAATCGGCGTTCCACGGCGTTCCATGGCATGGCCCAACACCACCATGATCTCCCAATTGCCACATGCCGTGCTTCTAGGAACACCTGTGTCCATGTCGTCATCAGTATCGTAATTGCACTGTTGTCGCTTCCTCGCCCGGTTTTGCAGGAACTGCACGTACTGCTGGATAATGCGCAAGGTATTTACAATGGTGAAAACTGCAGCGGACACCTGAGCGGGCTCTATGCTTGCTGCGCTATGGCACCTGCATGGGTAATCCTGGAAAAAGGGCGCAAAACCTAGGAGAGCAGAGTGGCAGCGGAAGAGGTGCTGTTCGATTCATGATAGCCAAAAAAAAGGCAGGAAATGGTTGTCTTCTGTAGCTTCCAAGGAG